AGTCTTTGAATGCCAGAAATCACACCATTTATTAAATCTGACATCACTTGAGGTGTTGCCATCAAGATAGGCTGTGATGGCCAAGCGCCCCCTTGTTGACTTGGGGGGTTAACTGTAGGAGGAGCTCTAGCAGGCTGAGAAGGTAAAGGCCCTGTCTCTTGTGGCCTCCGAGGTTGAGAATGAAAAATTGGAGCGCTCATACCTGATGCCATACTTGAGGGTGTGGGAGGGGGGCATGGCCTGGGTGGCACCATATTACGGTGCCGATCTAAGAAGGCCTGTACACCTTCATCAATTGGTCCCTGAGTAGGTCTTTCTTCTGGCCTTGGGGTACCTTGTCTTTGGCCTTGCTGTCGACCTGTTGATCCTGCTTGCCAGTTTCCTTGATGCCCACCTCTTGATCGAAGATTATAAGTTCCTGTACCTAGAGGAGTTCCATTTCCTTCCATCATATCACTCGCCCCACGTTGGGCGCCAAGATGAGCTGAGACGGGTTTTTGGGGGGGTTAGACAGAGTAAAGAATACGCCAGGAGTAGGAGCTGGAACTGGAACTTTATTCGTCCGCGTGGTACTTCGGCTATTATAGAAAACACTCATCTCAATCAATCCATAACAACTAAAATCATCGTATTCATTTACCTATTATAGAAACACCAGGTTGCACAATAATTCCCATACAGGGGTAAAATACTGACCAAACCGAAAGGTTGCCTCTTTACATCACCGATTCGGACCCAACGTTAACTTCAACCAGACATTTAAAGTTTAAATGCACCTGACAAGGGGAACGACCTCCGCGCTGCGATCGCTGACCGTTAAGGAAGTTTGAAAAAACAGTTTCCGCGCGCCAAATTCAAAACAAATAAAGGAATTAATATAGTCGATGGAAGTCTGTCACAGAACCACAGGTTAAGGCAGACGGACGCTGCGGCGGCTGAGTATAGTTCACGAATCTTGGACTAGCAAGTTATATGGCAACACGGTGGCTCGGGACTGGCAACACTGTCACCCGACACGAACTCATTTTACAATATGAAATACGAAGAGCGAAAAGATAAGGTTAGGATCGTGGACCTAACCTACAATATGAAGAATGTAAATAACAAATTTATTACAGCCGATGAACGATTAATATTCCAGCTCAACAGTAACAGACCAAATATCTTTGTTATCTCCACTTATCATCAAATGATCCATCCATTGAAGAGCTCTTCGGGTTCTTTACCTTGTAGTTCGAGCAGCAGCAGAAATCATCATCATGGGCGACTTCAATGTACACAACACTTCTTGGCTCCAACATAACGGATGATGCTGGGCGACAAGCAGCTTATCAAGGAACCTACACGAATTCCCAATATCAACAATCATTTAGCCAACACACTCGGCTTATTCCTGATAAGTAATTCAACACCTTACACCATAAATGTACGAACACCAATTGGAAATTCTGATCACATACTCATCTCCACAACCTGTCCATTCTTCAATCCATCAATTACTTTCCTAGGCATAGAATATGCTCTGATTTTGAGGATCTTCCACAGTGTGCGTCGGAAATATCCGAGACCATCACGCTTGGGTTGGACACATAAATACCTCATTATTTGAAAAGACCATCAGCTTCGAAACCCTGGTTCAATAAGAACTGTTCTAGGGTTGTTGCTCAGAAACAAACAGCCTACCATCGCTGGCGCAAGGACCCTCACCTCATGATTAGAGCAGAATATGTTGAAGCAAGGAATAACTGCAGCCAAACAAGAGATGCATCAAAAGAATCATACAACGCCAAAATAAGATCAAAACTCATAGACTGTCCTAATGGCTTCCGTTCGCTTTGGTCCCTTGCTAAAGCAATCGAAAGGAATTTAACTAATGGTTCATTCCCACCATTCTCCAAAGGTCCAATGGTCCTGATGCAATTCCACTCATTATTCTGAAAAATTCTGCACCAGAATCGACACCGATTATCTGCAAGCTATTTACCATCTTCTACAAGTCTGGCATTCTTTCATCTTGATGAAAAATAGCTAGATTTCAATCAATCTCCAAAAGAGAAAACCAACAACTATAGGCCAATTGCCCTGTTATCGGTCATCTCCAAAGTGATGGAGAAAGTCATCAACATTGGGCTCATCAAATATCTGGAAAGCTCAGGAGTCATTAATGATAGACAATATGGTTTTTGCCACGGAAGATCAACTGGAGATTTACTTGCCTACGTCACCCATATATGGAAAATTTCATTAAAAAAGGATGAGGTGCTAGATATATCTAAGGCATTCGACCGTGTTTGGCACCAAGAACTGCTCCACAAATTACCATCATACGGCTTACCACCTCAGCTATGCCATCTTCTGTCGAGTTTTCATTCAGGCAGATCGCTCTATGTGGTAGTCGACGGAGTATCATCTGATACCATCGCCATCAATTCCGGCGTTTCAGAAGGCACCATCATTGTTCCCACTTCATATCAACGATCTATTGGGAGCAACCACTTGCCCTATCCACACCTTTCTAGACGATAGTACCTACTCTCCATACTGCGTTTCATTCTAGAATCCCCATTTCTTCCCAGGAAACTAAGAACTTGCGACGAAGGCAGGCCAACGCTGCCAATGAAGATCTTGTGGGAATAACTGCCTGGGGAACCAACATTCTAAATGAACGCCACCAACAACCTAGTTGAACCACCAATACGCAAACCTGTATTTTATCTAGAAAGGCGGAATCCAGTATGCCTGATATCACAATGTCTGGTACCATTATTCCCACCAAGACTACTATTCATATCTATGCTCGGTATCACCAATAGAATTAACCTCTCATAGAAAAATCATGTTCGAATCATCGCAAATGCTTCTTCACAAAAACCTGGTTTCTTGTTCCGTGCGAAAATCAACTATACACCTCAACAGCTTCCCATGATCTATCTACAGAGCACAGTTTCAGCCAATTTTTGAATACTGTTCCTATGTATGGGGTTCAGCACCTAAACATACGCTGATGCTCTCAGATTTCATTCAGAGGAGAGCCATTCGCCTGGTGGGTGATGCCACACTCACCAACTCGTAGACCCCATTAGAACACCTTTCACTTTTCGATAGATACTTCCACAGGAAATATTCCTCAGAAATCTCTGCTATAACATCATCAGTAGCAATACAGACAAACTCTACAGCCCCAGTCAGCACGTCCCTTTGTCGTCAACTGTGAAAAATGTCGAACAACACTACCAAATTTCGTTCGTCCATAGGAACGGCGAAGCTTCAGAATTCTTTGCTAATGGAAGTATTCCCAAGAACTAACAACCTCCAAATGTTGAAAAAGAGTCCCTAGATACGCGCGATGTTCCACGAACATTATAAGAATTTCTTTTCGGGCGCTCTAAGAGATAAAAAAATACGCAGAACAAACTTCTCTCTACAGAATCAATATACATGATCTTGATGAACTAAACACAAAATTGCAACTTCCTGAGAATCCAAATACCGCAGAAATATACATTCAATTCGAGTTATGTTTTGGATAAAAAATATGCAAAATAATCAATATCTCTATCGCTGAAACTGGTGGTTGGCCTTCTAACAGGGCACTGCCACTTGAACAAGCATCTCAGCACGATCGGGATTGTGGAGGATCCTGAATGCAGATGCTGCCTAGAGGATGAATAGACTTCTACTCACATCCTCACTGAATGCCCGGCAGTAGTGGCAGCAAGGGATATCCATTTTGTGGGTAGTATCCTGGACCCAGAGGATGTTAAAAAGATTCGGCCTAGAAAGTCGGTCTCTTTTGCTCGCGAGATCGGCCTTCTCCATATCTGACTTGCGATCCCAGGAATGTGGGTGCACAATGGGCCCGAAAAGGGAGTCCTAAGTGCGTCAGGTCCCAGACCGCCCACACACATACATACATACATACACAATCAATATCTCAAAAACCCTTAGAGATAGGTATAGGATAGTATGGAAGAGAAATAATCAAGAAGTGGCAACGCTATATTGCTGAATAATATTTAAGATCGATAGATCAGGAGCAATTACTTGAGTAACCAATTTTTCGACAAAATATTATTATTTGTATCAGTCACATGTTTGTTATTTCAAATGAGATATCACATGTTATATCGCTCGTACATATTTTATATAACATATCACATGATTGGCAGGGTACGACACTGCAAATGACACTGCCAATATCGTTTCAAGTTTGTATCGACCGAAAAAAATGGAGGTGTCTAATGCACTCTCTCCACCGCGAAAACCTATCATATTTCACATGAAACAATATCATTATGTCTATGTATGAGGAGAACGGGCCCAAAAACCGACTGCTTCATAAGGAAATTTACTAACCTTATTTTCGAAGGCGCGAAAAGTGGAGAAAAAGGAAATGAACTTTGGTCTTTATGTTGTAAAGCTTTGTGTGGCGTGAATTTATATCCGATTACCCACATAAATTATATTTGTGAGATGATGAGTATTTTCGGGCAGTGTTCCGACCCGAATTCTGCTACGTTTTTCGATTAATCAGTGATTGGGTAGTTTATTATTTTTCCATTGTTTGTTTGCTTTCGTCACTCGGGATGATTGATGATGTTTTCCATCGATAATGTTGAACTCGATGTCGAACCAGTGTTCTTTGAAACATTTTGTTGAAAGTTGAATAATATTTTTGTTTTTTCTAACAGTTCTATAGATTTTTTCGAATTCAAATTTTTATCAAGTCTAGTGCCTGAACTAGTATCTAGTCTATTGTGTCTAGTATAGTCAGATGTCTAGTATAATCTAGTCTGGTGTCTAGGATAGTATAGTGTAGTGTCTAGTATAGTCAAATCTAGTGCCATTTCTATTGTCTAGTCTAGTTCCTAGTCTAGTGTCTAGTCAAGTGTCTAGTCAAGTGTCTAGTCAAGTGTCTAGTCAAGTGTCTAGTCTGGTGTCTAGTCTAGTGTCAAGTCTTGTGACTAGTCTAGAGTCTCGTCTAGTTTCTAGTCTACTGTCTATAATCTAGTGTCCAGTCTATTGTATACTCTAGTGTCTGGTCTAGTGTCCAGTCTAGTGTCTAGTCCAGTGTCTAGTCCAGTGTCTAGTCCAGTGTCTAGTCCAGTGTCTAGTCTAGTGTCTAGTCTAGTGTCTAGTCTAGTGTCTAGTCTAGTGTCTAGTCTAGTATCTAGTCTAGTGTCTAGTCTAGTGTCTAGTCTAGTGTCTAGTCTAGTGTCTAGTCTAGTGTCTAGTCTAGTGTCTAGTCTAGTGTCTAGTCTAGTGTCTAGTCTAGTGTCTAGTCTAGTGTCTAGTCTAGTGTCTAGTCTAGTGTCTAGTCTAGTGTCTAGTCTAGTGTCTAGTCTAGTGTCTAGTCTAGTGTCTAGTCTAGTGTCTAGTCTAGTGTCTAGTCTAGTGTCTAGTCTAGTGTCTAGTCTAGTGTCTAGTCTAGTGTCTAGTCTAGTGTCTAGTCTAGTGTCTAGTCTAGTGTCTAGTCTAGTGTCTAGTCTAGTGTCTAGTCTAGTGTCTAGTCTAGTGTCTAGTCTAGTGTCTAGTCTAGTGTCTAGTCTAGTGTCTAGTCTAGTGTCTAGTCTAGTGTCTAGTCTAGTGTCTAGTCTAGTGTCTAGTCTAGTGTCTAGTCTAGTGTCTAGTCTAGTGTCTAGTCTAGTGTCTAGTCTAGTGTCTAGTCTAGTGTCTAGTCTAGTGTCTAGTCTAGTGTCTAGTCTAGTGTCTAGTCTAGTGTCTAGTCTAGTGTCTAGTCTAGTGTCTAGTCTAGTGTCTAGTCTAGTGTCTAGTCTAGTGTCTAGTCTAGTGTCTAGTCTAGTGTCTAGTCTAGTGTCTAGTCTAGTGTCTAGTCTAGTGTCTAGTCTAGTGTCTAGTCTAGTGTCTAGTCTAGTGTCTAGTCTAGTGTCTAGTCTAGTGTCTAGTCTAGTGTCTAGTCTAGTGTCTAGTCTAGTGTCTAGTCTAGTGTCTAGTCTAGTGTCTAGTCTAGTGTCTAGTCTAGTGTCTAGTCTAGTGTCTAGTCTAGTGTCTAGTCTAGTGTCTAGTCTAGTGTCTAGTCTAGTGTCTAGTCTAGTGTCTAGTCTAGTGTCTAGTCTAGTGTCTAGTCTAGTGTCTAGTCTAGTGTCTAGTCTAGTGTCTAGTCTAGTGTCTAGTCTAGTGTCTAGTCTAGTGTCTAGTCTAGTGTCTAGTCTAGTGTCTAGTCTAGTGTCTAGTCTAGTGTCTAGTCTAGTGTCTAGTCTAGTGTCTAGTCTAGTGTCTAGTCTAGTGTCTAGTCTAGTGTCTAGTCTAGTGTCTAGTCTAGTGTCTAGTCTAGTGTCTAGTCTAGTGTCTAGTCTAGTGTCTAGTCTAGTGTCTAGTCTAGTGTCTAGTCTAGTGTCTAGTCTAGTGTCTAGTCTAGTGTCTAGTCTAGTGTCTAGTCTAGTGTCTAGTCTAGTGTCTAGTCTAGTGTCTAGTCTAGTGTCTAGTCTAGTGTCTAGTCTAGTGTCTAGTCTAGTGTCTAGTCTAGTGTCTAGTCTAGTGTCTAGTCTAGTGTCTAGTCTAGTGTCTAGTCTAGTGTCTAGTCTAGTGTCTAGTCTAGTGTCTAGTCTAGTGTCTAGTCTAGTGTCTAGTCTAGTGTCTAGTCTAGTGTCTAGTCTAGTGTCTAGTCTAGTGTCTAGTCTAGTGTCTAGTCTAGTGTCTAGTCTAGTGTCTAGTCTAGTGTCTAGTCTAGTGTCTAGTCTAGTGTCTAGTCTAGGGTCTAGTCTAGGGTCTAGTCTAGGGTCTAGCCTAGTGTCTAGTCTAGTGTCTAGTCTAGTGTCTAGTCTAGTGTCTAGTCTAGTGTCTAGTCTAGTGTCTAGTCTAGTGTCTAGTCTAGTGTCTAGTCTAGTGTATAGTCTAGTGTCTAGTCTAGTGTCTAGTCTAGTGTCTAGTCTAGTGTCTAGTCTAGTGTCTAGTCTAGTGTCTAGTCTAGTGTCTAGTCTAGTGTCTAGTCTAGTGTCTAGTCTAGTGTCTAGTCTAGGGTCTAGTCTAGTGTCTAGTCTAGTGTCTAGTCTATTGTCTAGTCTAGTGTCTAGTCTAGTGTCCACTCTAGTGTCTAGTCTACTGTCTAGTCTACTGTCTCATCTACTGTCTAGTTCACTGTCTCATCTATTGTCTTGTCCACTGCCTAATCTACTGTCTAGTCCACTGTCTAGTCCACTGTCTAGTCTACTGTCTAGCCTACTGTCTAGCCTACTGTCTAGTCTACTGTTTAGTCTTCTGTCTAGTCTACTGTGTTGTCTACTGTCTAGTCTACTGTCTAGTCCAGAATCTATTCTAGTTACAATTGTATAGGCATATCCAAAAGGCCAACGTGAGCAAACTGACTAACGCGTGCTCATATTTGAATCATCTACTCTTTTATTAGTCGAAGCGCCAGGAAGGCCATGTCTGAAGGCAGTAACCACATTCTGGATGCGTGATCACTGCATGCTAAACTGTTTACTGCTGGTCTCTTGGATTTGGAATTACTATACTCTAGAGTCCAGTCTAGTGTCCAGTCTAGTGCCCAGTCTAGTGTACAGTCTAGTGTCCAGTCTGGTGTACAGTCTAGTGTCCAGTCTAGTGTCCAGTCTAGTGTCCAGTCTAGTGTCCAATCTTGTGTCCAGTCTAGTGTTCAATCTAGTGTTTATTCTAGTGTAGTCTTGTCTAGTATAGTGTCTCTTCGAGTATCTAGTCTACCGTCTAATCAAGTACTTTTTATTGTATCTAGCGAAGTGCTTATTCTAGTGTCTATCCTATCGTATATTTCAGTGTTTAGTATATTGTCTAGTTTAGTGCCTAGTCTAGTGCCTAGTCTAGTGCCTAGTCTAGTGTCCATTTTAGTGTACTTAGTCTTACCAGCTATCTAGTCTAGTGTCTAAGCTAATAACTTATTTCATCTGTAGTCTAGTGTAGTGTCTAGTCTTGCGTCTTGTCTAATGCCTAGTCTAGTTTCTCGTCTTGGTAAATCTATTGGACAACAACATTATCGGAATATTTCCAGCTTCAAGAAAAATGTTCCACTAAACTTCTGGATTTACTTCTCCTGAACGTGCACAGCTTTGGAATATCAACTGATGGAATGAAATATCCACTACCTCATGCTATTTTCGTTAAAAACGTTCTTCTAATGGATACTTATCTGTCAGGGATAGTGAATTTACGATATTCCATTTTTCTGATCATATCTTACTCCAGGCTGTAGCCGACTTTATCCCCTTCCATGACTCCTTTGATAGAAAAACAACTTCAAACAACTCTTGTTTCCTCCGAATTTAAATCGTTCTGATTCCTTCAGCTCCTTCAACCACCGAAATAGAATACCAAACAATAGCGGGAAACTTCTGTCGAGAACCCTTTTAGCGACACTCTTTTAATTGCACAAAGAAATCACTTCTCATTATCTTTTTCCGTCTTCGGTTCGCTTCCTAGGTTTGTCAATGTGTTGGATGCCTTTTTTCACCCCTCACACTTGACATTGCGGTTATTTCGTCTACCGCTCTCAGGGTTTTTGAGTGCATGTAGTGTGCTTTGGCTGTTATTTGATGTTGTTCGACGATATGGGGTTGGTTTTATACAGGGTGAATTAACACCAAGTAGGATCGTTTAAGTGAACTGTGCATCTGACAGATTTTTTTAAATGAATTATGTGTTCACTTTCAGTAACGCTCTCATGTCAACCTGTTTTCTGTTAATAAATCGAGTTGAGGAATTGATATATTATCAAAATTGTGGAACTGACTTTGAGCATATTCATATTGTTATGCAACCAACCTATTCTATAAAAATATAAAACGTAGGATATAGTATATAAATTTATTTTCCTATTTCTCGTTCAATCTGTGTTGCAGCAATAAAAGCCATATCATTGTTATTATTATTATTAGATATAAACTCCGAACGCGAATATCTTCGTAATCGTTTGAAATATCCCTATCAAACCCTGTATCGTTGAATTCGATATAATTATTCCTAACCGATTATAGAATAAAAAACAGGTTACAAGATGGAAATAATTCCTAGAAAGTGAGAAAGTGCCCCCAGTGAGCATATTCGATGTTCCGAATTTCAGAATTATAGCTAGAAAAACAAGGGAGAAAAGGGGGGTATTCCATGAGTCTGTATCACCCGCTATATCTCATAAAATACTGAAGGTGAACTTATTGAGAACCATTCTTATAGAAACAAGATATACATAGTGCTTCATTGAATTCGTCGTATGCACATTTTGCATCTTCATATACCTACATTTTCATAGGTTATGGAGATATATAGAACTCCTGAATAAAAAATGAAAAGAATTAGGAAGTTTCAGATTTTTTCAATAAATGAATAACATAAAGGTAGAGAGTTGTGAGGAGTGATGGGAAGAGAACAATGAAAATTAATTGAGGAACAAAAAATTGAATAATAGCATTTGAACAATGTTAGGGAAGTCGAAGCTCTGAGGGAGCAGAAGGACGATCTAGCCTTCATAGCCATCTAGTGGCTTAAGTGCAAGGTGTGTAGGTAGATTCATCAATCATACCTTGCGACTAAGTCGTGCATATAGACCCCTACGTCTATATGCTTACAGAAAAGACATCCATGTCAGATTCTGTAGACTATCGCAACACCTGTAATTCTCAAAGTGGTTTAATGTTCCACTAACAGATGGTGATAAACCTAGAATCTCAAGATTCACGAAATTTCCCTAGAATCTCTTAGTCTTGAGATTCTAGGTTTATCAATGTTAGGGAAGAACGGTATGATTGGAAATGGAACATGAAAAAAGTGCTTTGATTGGTTTGTACTGAAGTTTTCACTTACCCATTCAAAAGCATTTCGCCTCTATTTTTGATCCAATAGTTTATCGTATTTGGATATGCTTCCACATAGCATTCTAGTTGAACATCTGTACTTACTGGTGCTCCAAGAAGTTGATTGGGCACCTTTATAACAGGAGCAACTGAAAAAAATTAACAGGATGATATAATGAATGAGTAAATTTTTTCTGTGTTGAAAGACGCGTATCCTATTGATATCTCCTTGAATATAAGAATTTGGATCTGCGGTTAATAAATATAATTATTTTTTGGGCGAATCGTCTGATTTGTCCATCCTACAGGTTTATTGAAATGCACAAATACATTTCTTCAAACAGACGAGAAGAAGATATGCCAAAAAATCAAAGAAACGAAACACGTTCGTTCATTGAACGGCAAAGATTTCGAATAAATTCAATAGCTGTGCATCAGGGTGTTTCATAATATGAGGAATACACTTCCAGATTTATCTCAAGTTCTTTTAATCTTCTGGAGTTCACGACTTGAAATGCTTATAATGTTCGTGAAACATCGTGCGTAGATAGGAAGGATAGGGATAAGATGTAGGTGTTGGATGTGTTTTTGACTTTTTGGGAGGCTATATAAGTTCTTGGGAATACTTCCATCGGTAAAGAATTCGAGAGCTTCGACGTTCTATAGACGAACGAGTTTTGGTTGAGTGTTGTTCGGCATCTTTCGAGGTTACTGACGAAGGCATGTGCTGACTGGGCCTGTAGAGTTCGTCTGACTAGTATTGCTAGTGATGGAATTGAAGTAGAGATTTCTGAGGAACATTTTCCGTGAAAGTATCTAAAGAAAAGTGAAAGGTCGCTGACTTTTCTACGATGTTCCAATGGGGTGGGGAGTTGAGTGTGACATCAGCCACCAGGTGAATGACTCTTCTTTGTGAAGCAGATTTTGCGATGGATCGTACATGATTTTTTCATGAAAGAGTATTGCTGATGTTAAAACCGAGCATAGATGTAATGGTCTTGGTGGTACCAGATATTGTTTAATCAGGTATAGTGAATTCCGTCTTTCTAGAGAAAATACAGGCTTGAGTTTTGGTGGCGTTGAATTCAACTAGGTTGTTGGTTCTTCAGGCTGTAATTTCTGCAAGATTTTCATTGCCAGCGTTGGCCTGCCTTCGTCGTAAGGTCCTAATTTCTTGGGAAGAAATGGAAATTCTAGATAAGTGGAGGATAGGGCAAGTGATTGCTCCCAATATAATAGATCGTTGATATAAAGTAGGGACATTGTTGGTGTCAAAATTGATGCACTTTTCCATAGATGAAATGTTCCTCAGATATCTCCGCTATAATTTCATCACTAGCAATACCAGTCAGATGAACTCAAAAGGTCCAGTCAGCACACCCTTTCATCGTTAACCTTGGAAAATGTCGAACAACACTCTACCAAAAGTCGTTCGTCTATAGAACGGCGGATCTATGGAATTATTTGCCAATGAAGGTATTCCCGAGAACTTTTAACCTCAAAAAAAAATAATTCGAACACCTACCTCCTGCCCCTGTTCTCCCTATGTACCCACGATGTTCCACGAACATTATAGAAATTTCCTTTTGTGCGCTCCAATACGGTGCAATGCCTTCGATATATCGAATGCTACAGCTATGGCTCCTGCAGTTTTCAGGATATTCAGCTCAAATTTGGAATGCGGGTTATGCTGTTTTGAGAATCTATAGGGAGATAATGGTTACATTCCCTCTTTTCACCCTGAACATTTTTTGATGTGACCTTGGTGGATTTCAAAGAACAAGATCTCTTATTTATGGAATCTAATTCGATGTATGGGCCTGGTGGATCATTTCACTCAAGTTGTCAGGTCAGGTAACTATGCCACAAGATGGCGATACCATGACCAGATTTCCATGTATTTTTCGACGAGAAGCATATATTTGTTGCACTCAACTCTATATATGCATCATGCAAAAAACATACACTTTCCACACTAGTTGCACAAATAACATAACTATTTACGAAATTTTTGCAGCAAATGATTACCGAGATACAGTCGGCGTCCGATGTCAATAGATTATCGTCGAGACGTTTTCGTGATTCCCTCAGAGGCAGATCCAGGCGATTTTCGAACAGGGGGGGACATATACAGGGTGTCCTAGAACAACGTACCATAAATTCTACAGGGTGAACTAGAGTCCAAAATAGACCGATGGCAGTCAACTTACCTGTAAACGGAAGCGTAAAATGGCCGGTCAAGGCAAGTCGCATGACATCGATGCTCCAATAAAACCATGTAAAAGATGCAGAAACATTGCTCAAACTGGGCAAAAGTGTATAAAATGTGATACTGTGACACATTTCAGTTGTGTGAAGAATTTGAAAAATGTAATTGTACTGAATAGTGAAGAAATAGTTTGTTGCGGGAGTGATATACCGGTAAACGACAACAATGATGGCCCATTTTATGATGCTAAAGACGAAATATCACATCAAGAAAACAAAACAGATTATCAGGTATTCAATTATATTATCAAACAAAAAGATGTTATCATCTCGGAACTGTTAGATAAAATCGATCTTCTTCACAAACACATCGAATTAATCAGTGAAAATAATAAATTAAAAGTTGCTTTATCGCAAAATTCCAAATCAGCGAACGAGTCAACGACATCTGAAATAAAAAGCGACACAGCAAAAAATAATCTCATGCCAGTCGAACAAAAACCGACTGCTAAATCCATTGTAGTAAATAAAACCAATAAAAACTATACAGGGAATTCCCAAACAATGAAACAATCTACTGATAAGAAAGAAAAAGGAGAAGGAAACTCCCAAACAACACCAACAACAACAATAAGAAATACAGATGTTTCATTAGGACTGGCAAGAGAAGAAACCAGATTAAAAATGAATGATTATATTCATCTGAATATCGATCTGAATAATGGTAAAAGTAGCCAAAACCGTCCAAACAACCATCAATTACTAAACCCAGAACCAAACAAAAATCCAAGCAGCTCCTACGAAAACTCAAAAATGACAAATCCTAGCCATCAGGGTCATGGAAATGAATGGGAACAAGTCAGGAATAGAAGAGGAAGAAAGCATCGTGTTATTATTGGAAAAAACACTGAGAATAACCTTGTGAAAGGTGTTCCAAAATTCACGACGTTACACGTTAGCCGAATTAATAAGGATACAACGAGTGAAGCCTTGACCGAATTACTTCACAAGCATTTTCCGGAAGCCACTTGTGAAGCAATGAACTCAAGGTATCCAGACTCCTATTCATCATTTAAAGTGAAGATTAGAAATGATAATTTTAATAAAGCCATGGATCCAGAAGTGTGGCCATACGGCACCTGCATCAGTCGTTTTTTAGAGAGAAGGAGACAAACGACGCCAATGATATAATATTCACTCCAGATCTTCTATTGCTAAATGTACGGCTGAACGACAAGAAAATATGTGATCTACAGGTAGACATTGATGATTTTGATTTAAATTTTATTTGTTTGACTGAAACCTGGTCCACTCAGGAATCAATTCATACACATCATTTACATAACTTTAGTCTGAGAAGTTATTACTGTAGGAAAAATATGAACGGTGGCGGGGTAGCAATATTTTTAAAACAAGATTTGAAATCATGTCACTTGGATCTTTCTGAATACTGTTTAGAACAGGACTTTGAAATTTGTGGCATATCCACTAAATTAGAGATAGGACAGACAATCATATTATGTTGTTACAGAGCACCATCAGGAAATATCAATATATTTTTGGATCGAATATACGACGTTCTAAATAGTTTATATAGTCCAAAAATCAATATTTTAGTTTGTGGTGATTTTAATATAAATTGTTATGGCGGTAATAATAACAACTTTAGGAAATTATGTGATTCTCTAAGCTGTTTTGATATGCGTCATATGATTGAATGGCCTACTAGGGTAACGAATGACACATTGTCATCTATAGACCAAATATTTTCAAATTTCACAGATAAAGGAACAGCATGTGTTATTGATAATAATCTCTCAGATCACAAAACAGTGTTACTGAATTTCAATATTGAAAAAAGTGTGAAACAAAACAAACATCAATTTAAAAGGTCTTATAATGATAATGCGATTGAAAATTTTATTCGGGGTATAGAATCAGAGGACTGGTCTGACCTATACAATATTGAGGATATTGATTCAGCGTTCACATATTTCTGGGATATTTTTTCCTATAACTTTGAACTTTATTTTCCAAAAAAATTATGCCCTATTAATCTAGAAAGAAAGGAGTGGGTTTCTGATGAGATAAAAGTATCAAGTAATAAACTGAAGGATCTCTTTATTGCAAAACATCAATTTCCCCAGCTAGAGAATATATATAAAATACAAAAACGAAAGCATGAGAAGTTTGTCAAAGATACCCGGAAAACATTTTATCAAAATAAAATTAGTAATTCGGATAACCCCTCAAAAGCTGCCTGGCAAATTGTCAGAAAATTAACTAACAAATCTAGTCAAAGTGGAAGTGATATTTCTATTTCTCACAACAACACCATATTGGAGGAAATAACCGATGTTACCAATCTTTTTAATCGATATTTCACATCTATACCATATGAAACAGTAGACAAAATCTCAACCAGTAATCATTCATATGATTATTATATGCGGAATACAATATCTCCCAGTAATTCACTCTTTCTCAACCCTTTCACAGAACAAGAAATGCATGACATGTTGAGAAAAAAACTCAAAAATAAATACTCATCAGGTTTCGATGAAGTTCCTATGTTTATCTTGAAAAAAACACTTCATATCATGGCCATTCCGTTCACTCATCTTGTAAATTTATCATTTATACAAGGAAAGTTTCCAGATGTATTGAAAACTGGAAAGATAACCCCCATCTTCAAGAAAGGTAATCCTCAACTTCTTTCCAATTACCGACCCATTACAGTGCCATCAAACTTTTCCAAAATATTTGAGTATGCCTACCTGGATAGACTCATGGTTCACTGTTATCGACATAATATATTTTCGAGAAATCAGCATGGCTTTCTTAGCAAAAAATCTACAATGACAGCAGTACATTCCTATTATGAAAAACTTGTGGAAAACATTGAGGCAGGCGAATGTCCTGTTGGGATATTTTGCGATCTCAGCAGGGCTTTCGACTGCGTCAATCATCATATATTACTTACAAAATTATACAGGTATGGTATAAGAGGAAATTCACATCAATGGATATCAAGTTACCTGTCACTAAGACAACAGTATGTAGTACTGAATAACACGGCATCGTACCGCTCGGATATTAACATTGGTGTGCCACAAGGCTCGGTATTGGGGCCAATACTTTTTATAATGTATATCAATGACCTGGATAAATTGCCAATACAAGGATCGATCACTATATATGCAGATGACACATCAATGATAATATCCGACAAAAGCAATCTTGAACTTGCTACCAAATGTAATCAAGCTTTGCGATTGGTCAACGACTGGACCAGAGCAAATGGACTATTTCTCAATGACAAGAAAACGAATGCAATTAGATTTCACAATCGCCAAAAAAATTGTGATAAGATCATTTTACAAGTCAATGAATCTTCAGATCCAATTTCTACAGACACAAATGATGTGAAATTTCTGGGGCTATATATCGACGAATGTCTTGATTGGCATAAAAACTCTGAAACATTGAAATCTAAACTCAACTCATTTTCATATCAATTCAGAAATCTGAAAAATGTTCTCAACAGGGTACAGTTATTGAATTTATATTATTGTCAGATTGACAGCCGACTTCGTTACGGCATTTGCTTTTGGGGTCTATCCAGTTCCGCACAAGATATTTTTATTGCGCAAAAACGCGTTGTTCGTTCTTTAGTAGGTGTGTCCAACAGAACAACATGTCGTGACATTTTTAGGGACCTGAAAATTCTGACACTACCGTCATTACTAATTCTAGAATCGTGTCTATATGTATTTCACAATAAAGAAAACTTTCACACGAACATTTCCCGCCACGGAGTAAATACTAGACAAAAATATGATTTTTATATCCCTTTCAGTAGGATGAATGTAACGAAAAATTCGCCCAATATCATGGCAGCGAAAATTTTTAACGCTCTACCTAATGAGATCAAACTATGTAAGACCTTAAATTGTTTCAAAAGATCCCTTAGAGTGTTTTTAGAGGAACATTCGTATTATTCTGTCGATGAATATTTTTCTCAAGTATTTTAATTCAAATCTTACGTTTTATACATACTGTTTTTCTTTTTGATTTTAATTATTACCTACTATCATATCATACTTATCAAGTGTAATATTATTTTACTATTGTTGTTTTACCTGTACTATTGTATTATCCATATTCATTTTTGTGTTGTTTTGTATTGTATTGTCTTTAGATATAAGTTTACCCATTTGACTATTCCTATACAATTTTTTTGCAATTGTCTACTGGAAAATTGAATAAATAAATAAATAAATAAACAAATAAATAAATAAATAAACAAAAATGCACATTGAGCCGTGAGATGGCGTTGAAAAATAATTTTATTTTTAAATTCGCTTGAATATTTCAAGATTATCTGAGGCATCTGCTTACTATCGTGAATGTGCATGAACATCATGTCATATACATTTCATCAATATACAGAGAGCTCGACAGAGAGATAAGTATTTCGCATTCTCTTTGATGAAAAATGATATAACTTTCAATTATCAAATTTTTTTCTGGCTGCAGATTTTTTATAATTATTCTTGGTTATCGAGATATCTAACATAATTGATTTTGGTGCATATTTCTTCATGATCTGTCAGGATTATCATGCATGCAAGTTCCTATACCTCATTTGTGTTGAGGCAGGCAAGCACAAGGCTAAAATGCCTTCAGACGATTTATGTACTAAACAGATTCATCAACAGTACAAAACTGGAACCAGAATAAATACAACTTTGTTAGGATTTCATGTAAAATTATTATCATCCTTGGGTGTTTAATAATGAGGGGCATTATGCATTTACGATTTCTGTTTGCGAAAAATGGCCATTACTTAAGAAGTTCTGAGACTATATTGTTTATTTTCATTACAATTATTTTCCGGAAGAAATTTTTTTTCAAAAGAATTCAACTCAATATTTTGATAAAATTCGATGACTCTGATGTGAATGGATGTTAGATATTCCAGGGACACGAATAGAATAACCTAGGGATGTACCGGGTGGGATGTCCAGGGACAACCACTGCGGGACATCCCCAGAATGCCTCAATCATGTCCTTGTACAGCGGGACAGAAAAGGGACGTACCTAGGACATTCCTGTGTTGTTAGGGTTTTATATATGTGTGTAAAATGTATAAGAAACGAGTTTTTCTGAATACCTTTCGACACTGAAAATGCCCATCCTGTATATACAGGTACGTTTCAAACCTAACGGTTTCTTATGATAATGTATACATGGCTTAGAGATGGTCTGAGGAAAATGGACGTCGACAGGACGTCCCTCCAGTGTCATGAAACTGACATCTCATTTTATCCATGCATTCAAGTGACGTTCACTCGACGTCGATATGATGACGTGATTATCACGTCATAGAAAGTACGTCATAGTGACCACATAAATTGGTGTGTGACATCTCTGATGGAAAATCATCATTTAGGGCCGTCACAGTGAAGTGTTATCAATCGTCATATGGTTGCCTGGGATATCCCTTTCCTTCGAAAATCGCCTGTTTCTGCCTCTGAGGCAGTCACGAAAAGTCTCGACGAAATACAAGATGATCCATTGACATTGGACGCCGGACACCTTATTATATCAAGAAGGAGGAATTCTTATTGGTACCTTCTGAAATGGCATTCATAATATCTACATTTTTCGCATGCCTCTATGCTCCCCCCAGGGTACGCACCTGGGCTCGCTCGGGACTCAACCTTATCCGACCTTCGCCTTTTGTAAATTCTGTATTGTTATGGTCCTGTCCGTTACCCACGAGTCGTAACGTCCTGTCCCTGTCATTGGTGAATGCTTGTCGTAGTTCGGGTCTGTACCTTTCCATTAAGTCCCTCTTAATTGGGGTATTTTAGCAATGGCAAAACACTATTTTATTTCGGCCGCGCCCCAATTTCGTCCAGACGTGGGCTAAAGGCTTTCGAATATTAGATTATTTGGGGCGCTAACGTCCTTATCGCCTGAATTCTGCGAGAAAATTTCGGTTTGTCCCTAACTAATTGGGACATGGAATGATCATCCACAATGAAAGCGCGATTAACAAGTTCTTCGAGATATACACTAATATATAGGGTTTGTGAATGAATAAGTGCGAAACAATTCAGGAAATTACTCGATCCCTGTCATATTTTATGAGATCGAGATGTAATTTATATAAACACTAGGTG